ACAAAATTTGACCCATTTATAATTAAAGCTCAGAAAAATAGGAATACAAGAGAAGTCCCTCAATTTGATATAAGAACATCTACAAAAATGGTAAGTATCTGCTTAATGGTGAAAGATTGACTGCTTTCCCTTAAGATTAGAACAAGGCAAGGATGTCTGTTCTCCCTGCTCTCATTCAACCTGGTACTGGAAGTTCTAACCACTACAACAAGGCAAGAAAAGAAAAAAAGAAAGGCAAGGCAAGGCAAAGGCAAGGCAAAGGCAAGACATCCAGATTGGAAAGGAAGAAATGAAACTGTCCCTATGTGCAGATATCATTATTATCCATGTAGAAAATCCCAAGGAATCTACAAAAATAAAAATAAAAATAAAGTCTTTGGAACTAATGAGTTCAGCAAGGTAACAAGACAAAAGGTAAACATACAAAAGTCAATTGTATTTATATATATTACCAATAAACACATGGATACGAAAATTAAAAATATGACACTAATTATAACTACTCAAAAAAAATGAAGTTCTTAGATACAAATCTAAGTATGTGTATAAGACTTACATGCTAAAAATTACAAAATGCTGATGAAAGAAATCAAAGATAATTTAACTAAATGGAGAGACATATTGTGTTCTTGGACTGAAAGTAGTAGAGAGGATTTTCTCCAAACTGATATACAGATTTAAAGCAATTTCTTTTGAAATCTCAGCAAGATTTTTAAATGTATATAGAAAGATTATTCTAAAATTTTTATGGAAAGGAAAAGGAATTAAAATAGCTAAAACAACTTTTACAAGAATAAAGTAGGAAGAATAAATCTACCCAATTTGAAGACTTACATGGCTACTGTAATCAAGACTGCATAGTATTGTCAGGAAAAAAACATACGAATCAAGGGAACAGAATAAAGAAGTAGACCCACACATATACGCCAAACTGAATTTTCACAAATGCTAAAACAATTCAATAGAGGAAAGATAGCTTTTTGAGCAAAAGGTACTGGAGCAAGTGGATATTCACAGAAGTGGAGGGCAGTAATGAACTTCAACTGACATCTCACCACTCATACAAAATGTAACTCAAAATAGATCACAGACTTAAATGTAAAACTATAAGACTTTTAGAGGGAATAGAATAAAATCAGAATCTAGGGCTGGTCAGAGAGATTACACTTGAAACTGAAGCACAATCCATAAAAGAGAAAAATTAATGAATCAGACTTCATTAAAATTAAAATTTTTGCTCTGCAAAATATCCTATTAAAAAGATAAAAAGACACTACAAACTGAAAACTATTTTTAAACCACATATCTGACAAAGGACCAGTATCTAGAATACATAAAGAACTTCCAAACTCAATGATTAAAAATAAAAATGCAAACAATTCAATTTAAAAAATGGACAGAAGACATGTAGACATTTCGCCACAGAGAATATACAGATAATAAACATGAAAAGATGTTCGACATCACTAGCAATCAAGGAAAGGTAAATTAAAACTACAGTGAGGTGATACTTTTTTTATTTTAGCCATTCTATTAAGTATGTAGAACACCAAAGGCTGGCACAGATATGGAGAAACAGGATATATACATTGCTGGTGAGAATATAAAATGGTATAGCCACTCTGCAAAACAGTTTGGCAGTTTCTTAAAAATCTAAACATGAAACTACCATATGACCCACCATTGCACTCTGAAGCATTTATCCCAGAGGAATAGAAACTTATGTTTCCATGTAGCAGCTTTATTCATAATCCCCCCAACTAGAAACAACCGGTTGTCATCCTTCAACGGTAAACGGTTGAACAAATCTTGGTATATCCATACCATGAAATACTACTCAGCAATAATAAGGAACAAATTAATACATGCAACAACCTGGGTGAATCTCCAGAGAACTATGCTTAGTGGAAAAAAGAAAAAGCCAATCCCAAAAGGTTACTTACAGTACGATGCCATTTATAACATTCTTGAGGTAAAAAAATTATAGAAATGGGGAACAGATTAGTGGTCGCCAGAGGGTTAAGGAAGGGATGAGAGTGGGAGGGAAGTGCGTGTGACTATAGAAGGGCAACAAGAGGGATGCTTGTGGGTGGTGGAAATGTTCTGTATCTTGACTGCATCAATGCCAATTTTATTTTAGTATAGTTTCACAAAATATTACTATGGGTGGGAATTGGGTAAATAGTACACAGGATCTATTTATTATCTGTATGTGAATCTACAATTCTCTCAAAAAAATTGATTTTTAAAAAAGAAAAAGAGTAGTACATACTCCAAAAATCTCAAAAAGCAGACTAGGAGGATCTAATCTGTTTATTATACTGATGTACTAATAGATACAGTATTCATTTATCTGGGGGCTTTTCAAATATATTGACTACTTTTAACCAATAAAAAAAATGTATAATTCATTATATTTTCCCCTACACATTTGCTTCAAGGCCATATGACAAGCGGTAAAAAATGCAGAACTAAAGCTCTGGCCCAAATCTTACCATGGTGATCAAATTGATTTCTTCTTGAGTAGCAACTTGGAAAATTTATTTTAGTGGCCATCTCTAATACTGTGTTGCATAGAATTTTAAGCAAATTTCTGCACCCAAATAAGAATATTGTGATTGATTAGGGTATGGGATACAGGACTGTAATACATGTGCCACAGATTTCTCAACTCTGTTGGCTGGAAGAAGGTTTTTTTTAAGCCAACCTCACAAACTTCAGGAGACTCTTTGTTAATAAATCCTTCTGTGTAAAGTTTCTTAGAAACCCATTCTCCTGTCACACCTAAGTATTAAGTTATGTTCTACCTACAGTAACTATTTAATACAGTTCTCTTTCATTTTTTTAGTTTAACGAATTGTACATGTGAATAACACCTACAGAGAAAGTCATTAATTGAAGTGCAAAATGACATCATTATGGAATAAATAAGGTAGAAGCAAGAAAGACTTGCCAGGGCTGAGAGTCAAACTGGCAGAAAGAAGGCTTAAGACAAGCATGGTTTAAAAAAAAAAAAATGAAAGATATAAAAGTGGTCAGATAAATTATGGTTATGACAGACAAAAAATAATGCAGAATAAGCAGAGTTGGTATTCCTAAAATGGATGGACAAAGAAAATATTCAAAGGTAATATTGCAGAAGATTGCTCTAGAAAAATTAAACCTGCAGGTCAGAAATGTTTCAGGGAAAATTGATACAGAATGATGGACTGAGACATAGACTTCAAGTATAGGCATACCTTAGAGATACTGCAGTTTGGGCTCCGTAATAAAGTATCGCAAAAAAGCAAGTCCATTTTTTTTGCTGGGGGAGGGTCTTGCCTTCCATTTGTTTAAAAAAAAAAAAAAAACCTGTGAAGCACAACAAAGTGACATGCAATAAAACAAGGTATGCCTATATAAAGAGAACTTTTCAGTGGTAGGCAAAGGAAGTCACCTAAAGAAGTAAATGTACATGTTTGTGCAAGTGGGAGGGATTGGGAAAATCAAGGTGGTCTCGCATTTCTCCACAGCAACATAAAAATGCCAGAAACATGAGAAGTGCAATGTCCACAAAGTTATAAGGGAAAGAAAGTATGCCCTAAGATTTTAGTACTCAGCCAAGTTGTCCTTCAAGTATAAATGGACAGAGATAGTCTCAGGCACAACTGTACTCACAGAATATAGCACTTATGAGCCATTTATGAAAAAGCTGCCTAACAATAAAATCCACCTAACCAAAGATGAATCAAAATAGATTTTACATATATAAAAGTTTATTAATGAGCACTGAATCATTTTAAATATAGAACTAAGAAAAAACAACTATAAGAATAATTGTTTTAGGATGGAACATAAATGTTAAACCTTGACATTAAAAATGTTACATATTTGAAACGAATATAATGTTATATGTCAATTACACCTCAGTTTTTTAAAAATAACATGGGAAATAAAGGACAAGGAAAAAATGTGTGCTAATTTCTGCAGTTTACAGAGCAACAACGAATACCGTATAAAATTTAAAAAAAAAAACTTTTAAAGACTGTTCAGCCTCCTGATGATTTCCATTTTTTGTTTTTTGTTTTTTTAAAAAAAAATAAAATAAAGAAGACTTTCAAGAAATAAAATAATTTGTGATAGAAAAAGCTTATAAATATTTCAACAATTTTTTCAGTTTCACTTTAGGTTTCTTTGCTTCGTTAAGATCAAGTAAAATTAAATCTAAATATTTAACAAGTAGTGCCTATAGTATATATATACTATATAGTAAGTATATAGATCTTACATTTGCATATATACGATAACTGGAAAGATGGTCACCATTTAGTGTTAATAGTAATTTCTGGCTGAGTAGAATCAATTTTTATTTTCTTGGTGCTATGTTTTTCTGCTTAACTTGAATTCTTTATGAGCATATATCACACTTATAAAATAAGTCACTATTATTAAGTCTATTAAGAGGTTTAGAAATGAACCTCTTAAAGAGTAATTTTCAAACATGCTGTCACTGGCCTTATGAAATAAAACAGAGATGGCAGGTAATAAAGTAGAACCAGAATACTAGATTATAAGGATCACTCTTCTGTAAATGAAGATCTACATTTTTTTGAATAACTAATGAAGAAACACAAACTTTTAAAATTTTCTTACAATAAATTGAACTAGAAATATATTAAAAACACAATACGTTTATTTAAACTATCACTTTTCATAATTCATTGAATCTTATCACAGGTCAATATCTTTATTATATTACCTTATTGGGTACATTCATTAGTGTTACATAAAACTTCATATCAAATTAAATAAGAATTAAAAGTACAGCTAAGAACATAGTAATGATCTGCATGAAGACTCATCTTCATGCAGCCTAGTCCCTAATATGGTTAATTTTTCTGTTTCATGGGCCTCTCAACCTTAGACCAGTTTCATTTTAGAGAAAATAAAGTAGCTCCCTGAGCTCTATCCCACCCAGTTCCCAGCCTCTGCATTATCTGTTCATGTTGACCCAGTGGTACCTGTCCACCCGGGGTACAGCAGCAGGCCTGTGACCCTTAAGGTTCTTATGTAACACATGGTGAGTATTTCCTAGGAGGGCCATACGGCCATTCGCCATATTCTTTTTGCGGGTGATTTGGAACCAAGATTGAAAAGGCTGTTTCAAGTTTTCAACCTGAAAAAAAGAGGCGGGGGGGCCAGGTATGAAGCTCTTCCGTAAACTAATAAACTAGCTCTGAGGATTAAACGAAACCCATAACTCAGAAATTACACCATTCAGAAACATAAGAAGTACAAATAAATAGAAATGGAAGTAGATAATCATGTTTGGAAAACTGGCTAGCATTTGGGGGTGGCGGTAATAAAGTCAGTCACTTCGTACCTTTTAACAAAATCAATTCTTTACTCCAAATAAAAATTTTAAAAACACATTTATGCAAATTTCTATATATTCTTAAGTTATCCCTTGCTTCATCCCACCTCACAGGCCCAACCCAAAACTGTCTAATCATGATCTCTGGGTCTGGAAATATCCATTTTAAAGATGCTAAATGACCAATATAGATGTTTTACAGACCACATTGCTCTAGAAGAATATAGCTGACTATAGATCTGATCCCTAAATGGAAGATGATCTTTCTAAACATAAAAATATAATTGTCCAAATATTTCACTACATAATTTTAAACTTTTATACTTATAGAAATTTATATATATCTTTGTGTATATGTATATGTGTGTGTTTACATGTGTTTATATATATATATATATAAACAAGCTGGGGAAAATATTTGCCAGTAATATGAGAGAGTCAAAATGCTATAATAATACATTGATTATTCAGAGCCTATAATACATTCAGACCTCAAATAACTGGGTGAAGATGAGAAAATTCATAAGATAGTAAATACCAAACATTTGGGGATGTGGAGTTTTTTTATATTTAATGTAATTAATAATATCTGCAATAGTATTGTTTTCAGACTATTTTTAAATGAGAATACCCAATTTTAGGGAAAATGATAAACATTTTTACATAAAATTTATTATATTACAAATAAATACAACTTTCAGAAGATGCTTTGGACATATATTGAGAATGAGTAGAATGTCCATACCCAATGACCCAGTAATTCCATGTCTGAGAATTAAGTCTCCAGAAATAATTTAAAATTCAGACATCTCTGTATAAATTATCAACCTTTACATATCACAACAATATGGAAACAATCAAGATATCTGCCAATAGTAGATTAACTAAGTAAATTACTAGAAAAGCAAATAAATATTAAAGTGTTAAATATTTAGATTACTTTAATGTGTTGATACACAAGTGATTAATTGAAGAAAACATACAAACAAGTATATACATACAAAGTGTCAACAAGAGATCCTCTCTAGATCAGTGTTTTTCAAACTGTGGATTGTCACCACTAGTGAGTCATGAAAAAGATTTAGGTGGTTGAAGTTAACTTAATACAAGTGTTGGGGACATTGTAGCTAGCAAGGATAAGTATTATTTCATGAAACCTATTTCCACAATACAGCTATGCATATCTTTCTATAGGCTGTGGCCAAAAAAAAAACTTTTTTTTTTTTCAATTTTTCTGGTGGTATGAATGCAGACTTTTGACCATTTGTTAATATTCTAAATTTCCTATGAGTGGTATGTTGTTTATTGTCAAAAAGCCCACTGATTTTAGTATTTAATTCTGAAGAAATTTGAGTGAAAAGAAACTTATGTTCAAATATTATACAGAAAAATGGAATTGCAAAAGGTGGTAGAGATCCTGAGCACTCAGCCAAGTAGAAGAACTACACATAGAAGAAAATAAAGTTTTGCCAGAATATCAAAATTGTGATTTTAATCTTTATAGTTGTTTTTTCTATATTTTCCAATTGTTTGTTTCTTTGCTTTTATGGTGAGCATATTCTTTTTAGAATAAGAATAGAAAAGAAAAAAAAAAAAACCTGAAACATACTTTACCTGATAGATACTCTTTGGATTGCTGACTTTAGGAATTATCTGAGGTTCTTTGTTACTACTTTCCTCATCGGAGGAATTGCCAGAGGAGTAGTCTAGTGTGGCTCTACTCACAGCATAACTGACTTGTTGGGAGAGTTCCCATTCCTCCCATCTGCCTTTGAAAGAAGCAATTGTAAATGGATGGTTTTTCTCACCATACCTAAGTAGGAAAGGACAGGAAATTATTCATTAGGGATTCAATTTCTCAGAGTTTTATCTCTAAACTTTTCTGAAGACAACACGCTAACATACAAAGAGTTGTTTAAAAAATAAATTGAAATGACTTTACAGCAAAGCAGATTGAGAGACATTATGACCTTCAGCTACTACACTGTTGTAATTAGTGGGAGTATACTGTAAGAGCCATCTCAGTTAATTGCTCAGAAAAAGACAACCACTAGTTTCTTTTAATTCAACTTATGTGCTCAATTGCCCAATGGTAGCTAATTCCTCTTCTCCCTTGATATTGTCTATAATACTTAGACGTTATATAATCTATTGGGAATAGGGCACAGGGATTAAAATTAAATTTCAAATATTTTGCAAAATCTTTGTGCTTTCCACTCTATCCACTCTTACTGGAAGTGTGTTGTCTAATAAAGTTTATATCTAAAATCTTAACCAATCGATGCCATCACTACTAACCCAAGGCTTTAGAGCATCATCCTGAAAGCTGTATAGAGCTAACTAAATAACCTAAGGTTTCCAGGTGTCACAGAGCACACACACTCTTAACTCCAATGAGATTACTCACCTACAGCAAACTTCAAAGGGATCTACCCATATAGTCATCTCCTTTGGAAGTCCCAGGTGAGAAAAGTCTACATTACTTTCAGCACAAGCCCTTTGTAGAATGGGATCTTTATTCTGACTATTGTTTATCCTGATACACCTTAAAAAAAACAAGGAAAGGGAAACAAAGGCATGGTAACAGGTGCTTTAGCAGAAGAATCCTGTTTTAGGCATACTACTCCAATATGCACAGCTCCCACTTCACCCCTGCTTATCACAGACCCCTTTCCCAACCTCCAGTATTATAAGTAAGAGTAAAATATCAACTTTTCTCACAGCAACTCAGAATATGAGTTGCATCACTACGTCACACAGTTCACTGAATGTGCACTGCATATCTTTCAAGCTAAACATGTTAGAAATTGTTTAATCCACTTCATACAAGGGGTTTGTTCTATAATTTGGAACTGTCACCTGCTGCATCTCTTTCTTTCAAGCCCACGTTCACACAAATAAATTTGAGCCCATAAAACTTTCATTATTCATAGACTGCCAACAAAATCATTCCCAATGGTTATTACTTTCTTGTTACTTTCCTTTGCCGTACCACATACTAGATCTCACCTGAAGGCTTGCCCTTTAGAAGGGCAATCAGAGTGCCAGTGACTTCTGTATGTTTCAAACAAGATGGTCATCAGCTTTTCTGCAAAGTTTTCTACTTGCTGTTTACTCAATTTATCGTGTTTTTTCACCAGTCTTGTGACAAAGAAAACTGTTGTTGCAATTTCATCTCTCATGATTCAAGGAAAAATCTATGAGGAGGTCTGCAACCATTAAAAGGAAGCAAGAAGAAATTAAATACAAACAAGGGTCTAACTTCTTAATATGTAATTGCCATTTGGAAATTTTATATACCTTAACTTTAAAACAGAAATCATTTACTAGTCTTTAATGAACTAAATTAGCACATCAATACTATATATCAACAAAACAGCCAAGAATATCAGTTCCTTAACTAGCTAGTTTTTAACGGCTTTCAAAGAAAAAAAAAACACTTTTAAAACTTTAATACAATTAAGAAACAAATGTAACATCACTATGCAACTTACATAAAAAAATAAAAATAAAAGTCCTGATATAGGACAGTAATTACACCAACCACCATTGTTTAAAAAACATATTTACGGAGAGCAAAAGTATTTTGGGATATGGTTTAGTTCTAAAATATGGCTCTCGGGTTGCCTGCTTTAAGTAAAAGTTAAGATTAATGAAATGTATTATACTTGCCAGCAAAAACTCTTTAGCCCCAACAAAAAGTGGGCCAGAGTTAGAAGACCAGCTATGCTTTGAGTTTCTAACTCTCACCCACACCTGTTTGTTAGTTTTAGGCTGAATTTATATAAGCCTGGGCCCCAAAGCTTGGTAGGTATTTAACCTTACACAGGTGCTATCTTTTAGGGTAATCAGCTTTTCCTAGGTCCCCATGAGATTGCTCTTTGGTATATGTAGAGTGGGTTCTTTACGGTGTTTAAAGTCTTTCATAGTGGATTTGTATCTTCCATTTTACTATTAAAGTTTTGTCTTTTTGATATAGATTGAGAATCAAGTTTTCTCCTTCCATCCTAATATCCAAAATTCCAATAATTTCATCTCTAATTGTAACTGTCAACATACTAAAGAATTTTGTCTTGAATCTTTTGTAAAATTTAAGACAATTTTCTTTGAATAGCCATCATGTTGACTACACATATTTTTTACTAAAATGTTTACTTGCAAAATACGTGGAAGAGATCTCGGAGTTTACCCAGTCTCACTAGTTATCAAAGTATGAGTCACTGACCACCTTGTTTGGACCTACCAGACTGTTAAAAATGCAGATCCTTGGACTTTATCCTAGATCCACTGAGTCAATACTTCTAAAAGTGAGGCCTGGAAATGAATATTTAACAATATTCTTCAGATGATTAAAATTAAAATTTAAGAACTACTACACCTAAAATATACATGTTTAACACATACAATAAGTGGTCATTCAGGTTCTCCATCAGTGAAAAAAATTCATTCTCTTACAAGGAAGCCCATTTCATTTCTAAAAAGCTCCAAATCCACCTGTTTGATTCTCTAAATGTACAGCCTAGTTTTTTCCTCTGGAACTATACAAATTGTATCTAATCCTCTACCACATGAAGACACTTCAAATACTAGTTACTCAGCCTTCTCTGAGTCTCTTCTTTGGGAGGGCTAAGTATTCTCAGCTTTTTAAGAGTTCTTCCTGTAGAACTTCCTGTAGAATGTGTTTCTCAGACACTTCCCGTGCTGGGCACTCAACTCTGGCTGAGTTTCAAGTGTGTCAGGAATCCTCTTTTAAAGTGTGGAGCCCAGAATCATATACTCTGCCATTACAGAATAAAGTAGGACTGATACCTCCTTTGCTTTGAAGACTATATTTCTGCAATGCAGCCTCAGGTGGCATTCACCCTGATGGCAGTGGCACTTCACCACACCACTGCTTCACATCAAACTAATTCATGCTACTGTTTTGTCACATCTTTCCCTTCCTTCATAGCATAATGTTTAAGAATATGGGCTTTGGAGTCAGACAGACCTGGGTGTGAATTGCAGCTTCCCGACTCACAATATAATCTTGAGCAACTCTTGAACTTTCAGTTTTCTGTCTGTGAAATGGGAGGGACAGTAGCAACCTCCTAGGGTTATTATAAAGATTACAACCAATAAGATATTAAAACACCTGATCTAATTACTAGTTACCTAGTAGCTGTTATAGTAAGGCAATAGAGTATGTAATTAAGAAAACAGCTGTAAAAGCAAGCATCACAGGATTAAATCCAAGTCTTCTAGTTTATCAGAAATTTGAGAAAGTTTCTCAACCTCTGTAACCTTTAAAACCTCATCTGTAAAAAAGGAGTAAGAAGTTTACCTAAGGCTTTTGAATTAGACTATCAGATTTGAATCCCAGATCGATTTACTGTGTGACCTTAGCAAGTTATTAAACTTCTCTGTGCCTCAATTTCCTCATGTATATAAAGTGCCTACTTTGTAGGGTTGTTATGAGAATTAAGTGTAAAATGCCTAGAACAGCACCTGGTACTCATTAAAAGCTCTATAAATGTTAGATATTACTATAGTAGCAGGAGTACAATTTCCATACTACTACTATTGTCTTATGAGGATTTTGTCAAGATTAAATTATATACTAATTATATAAAGCACTTAGCAAAATGCCTGGATATAGTTAAGTACTCAAAAAGTGGTGGCTTTATTATTAATTAATATAAATTTATATCTATCATTTTACTGTGTCTTTTCTAATATTTTATGGATTAAATAAAGTATAACACTGAATATAGCAGCTATATCTGTCATATTTCATTGCATTAAATTTAGACCATCACTATAGGAAACAAATTATTTGTGACCCTGATTTTGTCATCCAATAAATTCTCTTATCTTTTTGGCTACCTGCCACCAATGACTCCAACAAGTAATGAATAAACAGGTGACTAGGATAAAGATCAAGCAGAGTGCTTTGAAGAAATCCTAGGAAATACTCCTTGAATACAGACACTTTCACTTCAACCAATTAATTTCATTATTATCCAGTGGAAAGCTAGTAAACAGTAAAGATTTCACCAATTGCCTTGCTGTGATCTCCATACACTATATTCCTACCAATACCATAAAACCATAAAATCTACTCCAACAGAAAAGAAGACAATTAGTTTAACCTGGCATGCTTTATTCTTTAGGAGCCCATGCTGTTCCAAGTAATCTCAGTTTCCATAATACTTAGAAACCATCTGTTTGGCAAGATGTTTGAGAATTTTGCCCTACTTGAGGTCAGTCAAGAGCATGGGTTTATAATTTAAAGTATCTATCTACCTTCTTCCCTTTTTGAAAAAGCAAGAATATATGTAACCATCTCTAGTTTTAGAGCATAATTTTATGAAATATTCATATTAGAAGAACATCATTAATAAAATGTATAGTTTCTATCTACCAACAGGTCAAAATTAAGATATATTTACAGTAATGTATGAATCTGGCACTTTTAATAAAAGCTCCATATCTTAACGTATAAGAATAGAAATCAGGACGTGTTTCCATAGTGTAGTGGTTAGCATGTCTGCTTTACACGCAGAAGGTCATGGATTCACATCCCAGTAGAGCTACAGTCCATGTAGTGTAGTGGTTAGCATGTCTGCTTTACATGCAGGTCATGGGTTCACATCCCAGTAGAGCTATAGTCCATAGTCTACAGCCATACAACCCTGAACAAGCCTGATGTCTGATCTCGGAAGCTAAGCAGGGTCGGACCTGGTTAGTACTTGGATGGGAGACCACCTAGGAAGACCAAGTGCTGTAGGCATAAATAATAAAAAAAAATAAGAGCCATTTCATTTTCATAAATAGCGTAAGTGTTAAAAATCTTGTACTAATGTAGTACAATCCACTGTATGTAAAGTTAGTATCCATTCATGGAATTTCAAACTCAAAGGTAGTATTTCCAGTCTACACCCCATAATTCAGTTCCATTTTTAAATT